GAGCGGCATAATTCTTGAGGAAGACATCTATCATATAGCTCTGGGACTATCTGCAGCAAATACCCTGTGACTGTGTTTCACCTTTCAGGGCTTCTCCTGGTGTTCCAAAAGGAAATACCCTGCTGTTCTGTTCTGGGACAGAGATAGAGGGAGGGAGAAGGAGAGGATGTCCTGTCCTGCTGCTGTCTGAATCTGGGTTAGATATTTCTGTGAGGGTGAATGTGCGTACCGCAAAGACAGAGCTGGTTTTGAGACCATATGACAAATGTAGCCTACTGCATGTACATTTTGGGTTATAACAAATGTTAGAGGAAACCATCATTGGATATAAAAGGACATCCTACACTAAACTTGGCAAATGTTCTGAAGAGCAAAACTTTCTGCTGCTGCTGCTGCTGCTGACAAGATTCAGCTGTAGCCTAAGCACTTTTTTCTGCATCAATTGCTATATCTATTTAATCTCTGTCACAACACACAACATTGTGGTTTTAAAATGTAGTTTAAATTGAGAATTATATTTCTGAATGTTCATTGTACCACTGCCTTCATAAAGTAAAGCCGTATCATTTATATATAACACATTGAATCAAATTGTAAGTTACAAACGTAATCAAAAGACAGGACTAACTTCCACACTTCAATAAAGCCACTTCTGTAACGCCACTTTCCGTAACGCCACTTTCCGTAACGCCACTTTCCGTGACGCCACTTTCCGTAACGCCACTTTCTGTAACGCCACTTTCCATAACGCCACTTTCCGTAAGGCCACTCCTAACGCTCTTCCATTACGCCTAATCCGTAACATCAATTCCTAACCATGAACTGTTGTTGCCTAAAGCTGACCAAGTACTTTTGATGATTTCACAGAGTTTGACTGTAGAGGCTGCGGCTGTCGCACTGATTGCAAAAGAAAGAAAAAAAAGATATTAAAGGGAGTTTAGTCTTTTCCCAAAGGTCATTATACTTGTGAAAAAACACCTGCAAAAGAAATGAGCATGTATTTGTATGTGTATACATAAAGGCCATCGGAACAATGGCATGTCACCATCAAGATGTGTCAGCATTTAGCTTAGAGCACCTCAGTTGTGCTTCGCCTCACAGCTGCTTGCATGGTTAAATACCCTTATGCAATGCACTCATGAAATAAGTTAATTCAAGAACTTTTTGTATTGAGATCAGGGTTTATTGCTTTAGGCATCTAAAAAGCGCACCCTACTTTAGACAAGGGCACTTTGTCCCTCCCCAAAAATAAATTAAGCTTTAACCCCTAGTGCACAAGCCTTCCAAGTATCCAAGGACAACTCTTTTTAACATACATTAGCTGAAGTTTACATCACCTGATTGTGTAGGTTTACACATTACTTTCTTAAACCAGCCAGATTCAGGTACGAATTGTGACTATGATTATGATCATTCAAACATAGTTCAAACCCACATATATTTTAAATGGTTTTCATGATTTTGTTTTTTAAACCAGAGACAGCCACTGGATTATAGCCTGACAACAAGACAGAGGCAGACAGACAGATGTAAACAGACAGATTGACAAAGGAGCAAACAGTTTGACGGACAAATACAACATGCTGGGTTACGACAGCCTGGTTTGCATTGTCAATAATGTTTTGAGGAAGAGATAATTTGTGAATATCCATGTAGGGTTTAAATAAAGGACTCAAACAAATATCTAACTTTCACCCAAGAGTCAAATTGTCATCGTACGTAACTTCAATGATATACAAACATACTTATTTTCAAGCCAAACCATGATATTTTTTCTTGACCAGGTAGTTTCGTTGCCTAAACATAACTGGGTAAAAAACATACTTCCCCTCGCAAACTAATTTAGTTGGAAGCTCTATATTTAAATTTAGAATCCGCTTTTCACATTCATACCGCTTGTATTAGCAAGGTTTTGTTCCATATACCCTTAATGTACTGTAAGACAGACCAGTGACTGATGTGTCCACTGAATAAGGTGAGCAGCTGTAGGACATTTTGGTGCTGAAGACTGTCATAAGTGTGTGTGTGTGTGTGTGTGTGTGTGTGTGTGTGTGTGTGTGTGTGTGTGTGTGTGTGTGTGTGTGTGTGTGTGTGTGTGTGTGTGTGTGTATGTATGTGTGTGTGCGCGTGCGTGCGTGTGTGTGTGGACCATAGTTCAGTATCTTTGCCCTCTCTCAGGCTGCCTGCCAACATTGTTTGCATAATGCTGAAATCCATCTCACTCACATTTACTTTTCCTGTTTCACTTTTGGATTGTTTTATCTCAAACTCCTACTTTTACACTTTTTTCATGTCACTCATTTTCTTTGTAATACTTGTGTGTTCACATTATTTCCTTATCTAGCTTGTCCATCTTAGTCTTTACACATGTATGAATAAGGCAATGTTCTCTTCAACAAATGCAAACACAATGACACGTACTGTGTAGGTACTTTACATGTAAGTAGGGACGGGCAATATGGAGAAATCAAATATCATACATTTTTCAGGAAATACCTCAATATATTGCGACAATATTGTAAAGTAAACTAATGGTGACGTTTTTACATATATTTAATTGGTTATGTTGGTATAATTGCTAAGTGGGTAAACAGCTACAACATCTGGTCAATTCAGCAAAATAAATCCCATTACTGTGTACTGCATTTAAAACCACGAAAAGACCCTTTTCGACTTAAAAATCCAACACGATATTTGGTCTCATATCACAATATCCATATAGTATTGATATATTACCCATACCTACATGTAAGTTACAGTTATTGACATGCTGTTAGCGTGTTCCATTATTGATCCGTTTCAAGGTCAACTTCTAATCAGATAGTAAACCTAACCCCTTTATGGACCACAGGTTCATTCACAATTCAGTATCACTGGGTTTGTGAATGGACCTGCAAACATTTATCCCAATTGTTGCTCATATACTTCCTTTGCAGGATAGGACACCTGTTTTACAACTCAACCCAGCAGATGGGTGCTGGTATTTTAAGGCTAGTTGTCTTCTTTGAAAATGTTTAATATCCAACTAACAATTTAAGTTTGAAATGTTTGCTCGGTAAGTGCACTTTCACCAAATAAATAAACTCACGAAAAAAACTAATTGAGACAAAGAAAATCTTCTCTAATTTCAAAGCCAACAGGGAACATATTACAATACAATCAAATGCTTTTTGCCATTATGTAATGATCAAACCTTTAGTTTTAAAAATGCAAGTCAGAGGAAATTCCAAGTAATTTTCCAAGCACTGATTCAATCCAGCCAATAATCCACTTTTTCCATTCAGATTCATCTTAAAAACAGCTTGAATACCAATACAGCCATTGGGAAATTAAGATAGATGTTGTACTTTTGACTTTCTATATGACTTTTCAGAACTGGCTAACTAACTTCTGGTGGATATAAAAGTATCTGCAGATTGGAAATCTTGTGAAGCTAGCAGCCAAATTGATTGCTCATATTTTCTCCCTGGCTTGAACTCATTATCCAAATGTTCACCTCGACACTTTTTCAATTTTCTAATCAAATCCTTACCTAACAACCCCAATCTACTAATTAGGTTTTAAAAAGAAGTTTTGATAGAAAGTAGTGCCACAGAACTACTGTATACATGGCCTATAACCTGGTTCCTTGAAACAACAAGGTCTGGTAGCAAAATAGGTCATAGGCCTACTTGTGATGGCTCTCCACATGACACAGAGTGTCAATGTGTATCCATGACTACTGGTCCCAGAACAGCTAATTAATTTCTAGATGGTTCTCGGCTGAAAAACAAAGATTACTGCTTTTTTTTCCTGTCCAAAAGTTTTCTATCTGTAAAGAAGGTCAGGGCAGGGCCATTAGCATCAAACCCCAGACATTGCCCATTGTTTTAGTTCAATGAGCAGTTCTAACGAGAGCAAGATCTCATTTCCATTCAGCAGAACATCTTCATCATCACCTTACCACTGACCGTCTCGCTTTACGTGCCGCTTCACTTACATAACCTCCTTAACCCTCGTTTTACCTTAACCCTAATCCTGTTCTTAGTCTGCCATTGATCTCAGAGCGTATTCAGGCCTTCTACAAGTGTTATCACTCCCTCAAGGAGTCAGACACATTGAGACCTTAGTATTTGATGACTCTGGAACAATACAAAGACATGAAGATAAGATAGAAAAAGAAAGTGCTGAAGTTGAGGAATCAATCATTTCGTCACTGACTATAGAGTTCATTCACCTTTTTCATCACATCGCCATTGAAGTTCCCTTTATTATTTTATAAGTGAATGCCTATCCATTCACACCAATTCAACATTTAGTGCTGATTCTGACTGTTCAGTTCAGTTCTAGATTTAGATTAGGATGATCCTAGTTTAGATACTTTACTTTTAGTTCAGTATTAAAAACAGATTCATGCGAATAGAGTTCAAAATGTTAATGGCTCAAAAGACAGTCTTTGGCAAGAGAGTTATTCGGTCATGATTTTGTTGTCTTTCGCTGTCTCTTTAATGAGGAAGTACCGTAACAGTGTTCTCAGTCTCCTTTGCTAAGCGCCACTGATTTGGTCAGTGACACTGATCGTTCTTGGTATTCTGTTCAGTTTGAAGATGAAATGTTTAAGATTAGTACGAACATGAAGACAGCTAGTGGAAATGTTAAGAAAGGGATTATGGCTATACCATATGACCAGGCTCTGTAAAACCTTGTAGATATATTAGTACTTTTGCCATGTCACTTCAAACCAGTAAAAGGAAACAAACAGACAGAACACAAACCAAGAAAACTCATGTGAAAATAAAATAAATCGTTTTGGAAGTAATGTTTGTGCTCATTCAGGACCCCATCTCTAACAGTACAAAGTTGATATTCAAGGCCTCTATCACATCATATTAGCCATGACCTAGCTAGCAAACACACAACCACTTCTAGACTTGGTGGCCTTTTACTTGCACCAAAGGAATGGTGGAGAATGACAAACCCAACAAGTCAGACTCATCCGCAAACCAGCGTAAAGCGCCTACCTGGACATGGCGATCTCAGCCTTCTGCCGGGCGATGTCGGTGGCTTTCTGCGCTCCCTCCACGGCTCGGTCCACCTTCTCTCGGATCTTACTGGCCCGGAGCGGGATCAGGTTCTTCCTTTTGCCGCTCACCAGAATGTTCTGTTTGTACTTCCCTTCCTCTTTCGTGCCATCAGGAAACGTGGTGCAGCCGTAGCCATGGCGCTTGTTGCTAAGCCACTCCCCCTCGTATTGCAGCCCGTCGGACCGCCGGCTAATGCCGAATCCTGTTCGCTTGTCGTTCTTCCACTCCCCGCAGTAGGTCTCTGTTGCCGTGGCGTCCACATCGTCGTCTACGACGGCCAATTCTGCATCTGCATCTCCGAGACTGAAAGATCAAATGTGGCATCGGTTTTGCTGGTACGCTAATGGCAATGATTTCCATCTCCAGCGTTTATAAAGTATTAAGATGTGATCAGGAAGTGGTTAGCTTAACCTAGCATAAAAACAGATAGCCTGACCAAATGATAAGCCTATCACTTCCTACAAAGTTCAACAATGTACAGTATGAAGTTTATTTAAATTGCACACAAAGAGAAATAGAAAGAGAAAAATTCAAATGTGAGATTGTATGGGAAGTTTCATGGCTTAGATTCCTTCTGTTTAAAGTCTAGTGCTAAGCTAGGCTAAACATGTCCTCAGTCAAGTCTAAACTCTTATCATAAAGACTTAAGATTGATATAATTTGTCACCTGGAAACAAAGAAAATATAGGACTGTGATGCCCCTGTGGGTTCATCTGGAGAGGGTGTGGCTGTGCTGCATCCAGCTTGATATGGTGTGTCTCCTCTTTGATGTGGCCTTTTGAGCCAGGTCATAACAAGGACCTTTCCATAATGTTCAACTATTTCTAATACGTTTTAGAGCAAAACATTTGGAAACAACCTTTTAATTCAAACTGGAAATGTATATTTTTTTCTGGATGTGCTATGTAGGATAAACATCTAAAGAACTTGACATTAGATAATACAGTAAAAAGGCTTCACTAATATTTCCCCCATTCACTTGTCCCTGTCTATTCATGTGAAGCAAACCTCTGTATGAAACTCCCCCATGGTCTGCTACCGTTCAGTCCTTTACAAGTTGCTAGGGAATCTTCACATTGGCTTGTTTTAATCTTGCCCCCTCTGGCCTAGATTTTTCACTTCCCTTTAGTATGCTCTTTACTGGCCAAGCATAAGATGTGTGTTTATATTGGGTTGCCAAGATGATAATATCTTAAACTTGAGTAAATATTTTATAAATTTCAATACACTCCATAAAAAGGATGTATTTAATCTTGCATTCATATACGAGCCCTGAGAGGCAATGTTGTATACATGTTTACAGCAGTAGAATGGACAAACCTAGAAGTAGTTCTCCTTATCAGCTTTGCCAATAATTAATCAGACCTGATAAGCTGCTGTCAGCCACTTCGCCAACCAGCAGGGTAAGAGCTGCTGACTCTTGTCGTCGAGTAATTGGTACCTTTAGAAATAGGCCAACTCAATCCAGCGTACTTGGAATTTTACATTAAGCCTTTCTATTGGTACACGATTGATTAATTCCATTCGGAGTCAAAATGCTAGTTTTTACACAATGAATATAACACGCCATTGGTACCTATTAGATTGTCCAGTCTTTGAATGACTATGGGCTGGTGCCTCCAATACGATTGATCAGAAAAGAGAAACAGTGGAGTAGAGAGGTGTAAATAACAGGCTTAACACTGGATAAGACAATGTAAACATTTTATCAGGCCAGCTGACAAGTAACCTGATCTTTTGACCTAAAGGCCGATTTGGACCGGGTTCCAATCCATTTTTAAGACGCTTAAATAGGACAGGTGCGTGTTCTTACCTTGAATCCTCCCAATGAAGAACGGTTTGCTTTCAGCTGGCCTACGTCATTACTTCCTGTCTAATCACTCTATCTTTCTCCCTGCTTTTATTCATGTAATTACTCAATGACAATTGGTTTGACTCACTTTCTGATCCCTCCAATTATTTAACTGTTTCCAGTTTCTTTTTTCAGGACTTTTTATTGTAAGAGTTCTTTAAGTGCAGAGTCAGCTAGCAGAGTATGACGTTATTTATGTTATGTTGAAAGGACATTGAAACAGCTTTGACATTTTTCTATGTGAAACAGGATATTTTGTTTTAGATCAATTCAGTTAAAGATGAACAGTATAGCTTTTTGACCTTACAGGAAAAGGCGTTATTTTTACATAATAATGTATAAAAAAGTCAATGTAAAAGATGTTGTGTATGAAAATCAGAACTAGGGCCTTCATATTGGACAACTCTGCAAAAAACCTGGATCAGGTTGAATCCCAACTTGCTTTTTTATTCTTGCTTTCTACATTAAGGTGCTTATTGAAATTAGGTGGAGAAAGATCTTAGTAAAAAGGAAACAGTTAGTAAAAAACTAAGACATTCATCCAGTCTAAGTCCAGTCTCTTGCATCAAAGTCTGAACCGAAATGCTTCAGAAAATTGGCACTGAAGGTTGTCATTGGACATCAATTGTAAGGTGTGAAATATACCAGAGTAACTCCTAGGGTACTGGTTTACAATATAAAACGAAGGCTTTTTATTGTGTCCATAGATTTTTGGTACTAAACCTTCTACCTCACTAACTAGTAGACCATAACCCTCCCTGACCTGCAGTAGGGCTTTCCCACCACACCCCCTCCATTGTCTACTCCTGCTATTACCTGATAGTAGAGTTGATATCAGATGCAGCTGAGGACACGGTACTCATCCCAGCCTCGCTCCTGAAAGAGCTCTGTTTAGACCTCTGGGAGGCCAAAGAACTTCTTGACTCAGACTTCCTCAGCTTGAGCCCGGAGAGGATGGACCTCCGGAACAGTCCGCTTTTTCTCTTTCCCTTAAGCAGCTCTGCCTCGCTGTGCGCCGTCAGCACAAAACCCCCCCGAGACACAGCGGGGCTGCTGCCGCTGCTGCCTGTGCTGCACATGGAGATGCTGGTGGTCAGAGTGCCAGGACCAGGATGAGTACCAGGAACCACTGCGCCGGTCCGGTCCAGCAGAGCTGTGCCATTGCTGTGCTCCGAACCGGAGCGCAGAGAGTTTATGGAGGTACGGAGCGGGGAGCGGATAACTGCCGCCATGCCGTATGGGACACTCTGCCGGACTCCGTAGCCATGCCGCATCCCGCCGACCCACTGGCCTTGAAATGTTCCTGAAAAAGAAAAATACCACTTAAATAGCAATTTCCATAAATATTCTCTGTAGTCACATACTGTATGTCTAATTATTTAACAAGGTGTGAAAATTGGTGCTGCATACACAGGATGACTAGGCTACTAGAAAAACATATATCTTAAATCATAAGAACCCTTTTCAAAAATAATAATATCTTTTCAAGGGGAACCATGCGCAACCAGACAAATCGCTCACAAAAGTATTGGCTTGAATGCTAAACAGTCGCTAAAAGTCGATAAAGTGATACAATGACTTCAAAAGTTGGGTCTTCGCATTAGATCGCCTTCAATTTACAACACAGTAGTAGAATCCTCTTCCTAAAATGTAACTATGTAATGTAAATTTCCTAAAGTAGGATATTGACCTGAATGTCAATCCCTGCTTTCATTCACACATAACCCCATGCAGAAAATGTTGCTAAACAATGTACGGGTTAGACTGCATTTGTTAAAAGGGACCTCAACGTTAGTAAGCACACAGTACAGTATCTAAGTACTGTAGAATGCTTCCTTCAAGCAGACTCCGGAGAGAATCAATCAACAAAACCACTATGGGTCCACTGATGTAATTGTATGTGTTTGCTTCAAAGTACAACCCATGCTTTATGCTATATGGGGAATGTTTCCAAAAAGGTTTTCAAGACAAAAGAACTCAAGGAGGAAGAATGGTTGGTTTAGCAAATGTTGGTCTGGTTTACCGACCCACGTGCCTGAGCTTTTGTCGGATGGAAACTCACAAAGCCTTGATATTTATATTTATATTGCTAAATTTCAGTGTGTCTTTTGTCAATATGGGGGTAAATAAAGGGTTCAACAACACTATTTTACTCTTCTGGTCCTGGCTGGATGGGAGGCACAGTATAACGTGATTGGTGTCCTTTCCTTTTGTTCTGCATGGTCATATTGACAAAGGTTTTTTTTAACCTGAATTGACTTTGAGTAACATTCCGAAACTGCAATAACTGAACAGCAGTAAGAGATTACAAAACTTCTGCTCTGTGATATATTTTTCTGATTAAATAAGTAGACAAAGTAATAGTTTGAGGAGTAGTTCTGTACATGGGAGTCACTTCCTCTTTTTTGTCCATCTACTCCCATTCATTCACACAGTGTTGATGCACTACCCGCTATCACTGCTGCATAACAGTCCTTACATCCCCATGTTGCGGAAAGTAGGCCATCTGAGTATGTGTTTGTGTCATTCCTCTCACACACACTCACACAAATACACACACACTCAAACGGAAGTGTGTGTACCAATAGGAGTGCAAGTGATCCATCCCGCCTGCCCGTACCTCTGATGTAACAGCACTCTGATTCATTCTGTAGCGAACGCACTGGCTGTAACCAAACTACATGCCCATATATGGGCTGCAATCACATTTTTCTTCTGTATCGCAAACACACACAAACATTTCCCTTGTGGGCTTAAGTGTCAGTGAAGTGGGAGGTGCTTAATGAAGCCAATGTTCTAAGCCAATCGTATTCTTGCTTACGTTCCAAGACAATCGCACAGGAACAACAAGCACACACACACAACACGATCCACAGTTCTTTTGAATCACTTGAGTTAAAAGTGGTGTTGCTTCTGAATCTGCCCTTGTCATTAAGACAATGTGCTGCCTCATCCCTCATATAAAGGCAGTGTTTCCCATACATTGATTTATCTGTGGCGGGCAGGTCTAATGGATAGTGAGGTGGGCTGATGATCGGAAGGTTGAGAGTTAAAATCCCACCTGGAACACCACTACTAGTGTGCCCTTACTAGTTACTCAAGGGAGAATGTCCCTGTAATTGGTCATTGTAAGTCACTTTGGAATAAGGCGTCTGCTAAATGCCTAAATTATATTTTTGGGAGAATAAACCCCACAGATCCTCAACTCCGGTGTGTCTCACTCATTAACAACGCAACACAGAGCAACAAGAACGTTGTCTACAGTAGACATGAACTCGCATGTATTTTCTTATTGGAGGGGGGGGTGGATGCGTGGGCCACCCGAATAGGTTAAGGGGCCTTTGGCTTTTCTTGCCGGGGGGGGCAGAATCAAATTCTGAGGGAAACACTGAAACACATAATAAAAAAACAGGCTGTGTCATAGACAGCTGGTCAGCACATCTGGCCTTTGTAATCATGTCAGTACACAGCTGTACGACCATATGACAGACAGATCCACACACACACACACATCCTGTGTCTTTCTGCTTACAGTGCATAAACAGGTGGAATCGATAAAAAAGAATTACCTGTCGGCTTCAGGTTACTTTTTGAAAAAGAAAATGAAATAATAGCAGAACCATTAATTACGTTTTAGAGTTGCTGACAAGTGGATTGTGTTAGCTAGCTGTTCCCCTTGTTTCCAGTCTTACTGATACGCTAAGCTAACCAGCTGTTTAGCTTTATATTCCCCATTCTTTTATTTGTATTGTATCAACCACTCTTGTACTTTTTATACACTAGGGTCCAGTTTGGGGTCCCCAGAGTTGCTTCTCTGTTCTGTGCAGATGTGCTTCTGATGGGTTCATCAGTATGCGCTGGAGCATGTAGAGATTGGGATGAGTGTCAGCACCTCAAGGTCTGAGGCTATGGTAATTTTCCAGAAAAACAACAAATTCCCAGCGGGTGGGGGCCCAGTTGCTGCACTTTCCGAAACGATGCAAATAAAAAAACTAAAATGTGCCAAACGAATGCGTGTGAAGAAACATCTTCAGCAACCTGACAACACATGCCCAACATTTAGAAAACATTCAACCAAAATGAGGGAACATGTGCAGTAAAAAACGTTCAAACCAAACTTAAAGGTCCCCTATTATACTATTTTTCAACAATATATTATAGGTATCAGATATATACAAACATGTCTCTGAAGTGTTTGGCTGAAATACCAAACAGATCATTGCAGCATCCCATAATCCCCTCTGTTTCAGCCCTGTTTCAAAAGTGCTGATTCTGTGACTGTAGCTTTAAATGCAAATGAGCTGCTGCTGGCCACGCCCCTCTGTAAGATGTTTAGTTTGAAAAAAACAATGATGCTCTTGGAGGAGATTCAGTTGACAAGGTGGGGGGGGACAAGGTGGGCGGGCGGGGGGGGGGAGATTACCTTGGTTGGTTAACCGCTAATCGTTGCAAAAATAATTGTGACATCACAAAGTGGCCAAAATCTGATCAGCTCATTTTCAGACAGGTTTATGGATCAGGACAAAAAGAGAATCTTTTTTCTGATACTTTCCAAATCTCGTAACGCAGATCAACACATGTTGATGTATAAAAGACATGAAAAAGTGGATTTTGTATAATAGTTGACCTTTAAGACTACTAATTAAAGTAAACCTGGCGATCGTCAGACAGGATTCCAAACTACAGCCTCCATGGTCCAATGTCTATAAAATTGAAATAATACAATAAAAATTGGCCTAAAAAAACCGAACTATGCCAACACGACAGCAGGATTTACAGCGTCAGACTGCATTGGTTGGACCTAGGTGTTCCTACAAAGCTGTAAACTTAGCGTGAGGGAATAGATATCTGTTTAGCAGTGAGGGGTTTTTTACGTTTTTTTCATGATTCCTTGGAAGCAAACACCCCCATCAATCAGTAATGCCTGAGTAAATCAAATATTCAGTGGGGCACCAGTCTGCTTTTCCAACGGTGCCCTGTCGCTCTCCATGGTGCTGAAATATACAGTGTGAGAAGGCAGGCTGCTGATATTCCTTAACACATTTACAGTTTCTAAGTGACATCAGTGGCTTGACACTAGAAAAATATGAGCATCTGCCAGACTGAGGTACACACTTTCAACAGTCAGAAAAAAACTTCTCACTTTCAAACATAAATGCTTTGCCTGCTTTGTGACAGGAGACATGTCACGGCTGTTTAAAATAAAAATGGACTTCTGTGTACGTAAAGGCCTCAACCCCTGGGCCGACAGTTGTGAGGAGAATCTGCTTCACAACTCGCATGCCAAAACGATTTCACTGATTCTGCCTGGAAGCCAAACAAGAAGCACTCCCCATCATACGGGGCTATGAGCGAGGCCGAGGTGAGCGCGGGCACGATGCAGCCGCACGGAAAGAGTTAACACGGAGAGATCAAAGCTGTGGAAACATCACAGAGGCACAGCGATTTGATCACGCGCCAACCCCTGGGCTGAATTCATAATTGTCTATTTAACAAATGCGCGCGTCTGTTCTCTATTTCTAGGTTAAAGACCATCTGTCTCGTAGGGTCTGTATTTCCTTCTTAGGAGTAGAATACACTTGTCAAAATCTGTAATATCTACCTGTTAGTTTAAACCGAACTATCATTTGTTTTTCTCCTCTGATACCACTTTACATCTAAATATGTTGATTTGTGAAGCGCAGCAGTAGGAAGTGTAATCATGGAGCAAAGCAGACTGTGAAGGAGTTGAAATTGGTTATTTTATGAATTATTAATGTGTTGTTTCTACATGTAAGCACTTGTATTCAAAGATTGTCTGTGTTTTTATATGCGAGAGAAAAACAGAGGGAGAAACAATATTACACATGATCAATTTTCTCACACAGTGTACTTTATCTGTCATATTGTTTTTACCAGGAGGGGTTTCAGTGAAAGTGATTTCAATTAGGGATGTCCCGATCACCTTTTTTTGCTCCCGATCCGATTCCGATCATTTGATTTTGACAATTTGCCGATACCGATTTTTCCCGATCCGATCTTTATGCAATGCATTAAGAGAAAAAAAAGCATTCAAGTTGTCCCTTAAGGTAATTTTTTTATTTAAATTGGATATTCTATCCAACATGGATATAGCTTCTTTCTTTCACAGCAGCATTGGATCAGCTCAGTTGTGCAGCATTGGATCAAAACAAAATAAAGCTTTCAGTACTCGTTAGCTTACTGCTACAATTAGACACTGCGCCCTGCCCACTCTGTTGCCAGATTTGAGAGAAATAAGCAACCAGGTCTATGAAAACAAGCCCCAAAGAAGCAACACATACA